GCTCTCCTCGAAGCTGATAGTCAAATGACCTCCAGCACCTGTTCCAGTGCTGGTGCTAAGTAAGCTCCCTTTTCATCTCTTGCATATTCCTATAAGTTCATGACCCCTGCGTTGAGGTGGGGGCTCATTCCATTGACCTTGAGTTAATGTCTTGGTAAATGTCACCTTTACGGCGTGTACAACAAATGTTTCTGAACCACAGCAACTTCTCAAGACTTTAATTCAAACTGCAGTCCTCCAAAATGAGTGATTGAACCCCTAGTCGCAAAGGCGGAAGAGACATCAATTATCGATGACCGACATTACTTTGAGGAAGTAGAAGCATGAATGAATGGATTGGAGACCATAACGGCGTTGGCGTACTGTGTCCATCGACATGCTGCAGCCTTGTCTATCGTATTTTAAGCGGCAAATGCTGACGTCTAATTGGGTTTTCTTTGCCTTTCCACAATCCATTCAGCTATTCAAGGTACTTTGAACATCTTGCTTTCCATTTGCCTGCTTCGGTTAAGACTTCAGGTCGTAATAATTTAAATGGGTAGCTTGAGTCCCACCGTAGCCTCATCTGTCGCCGGATGCAGAGATAGTCAAATTCGCCTTCTCTTGCAAGTGAAGTATAACAGCTCCTCTTCCGTGCCACACAACGGTATCGGTGACAATGCTGTCTGTGTCGCCCTTCCTTGTCCGATTCCTTTGTGTATGTGGGGTGTGGGAGATTGGAGGTGAATGAGCACAAGTGTGCAGTCACACGTCACAGCATGAACATTGCCATTGCTGGCGGTGTGAATGACTCATACGCTTTCTTCTCCATCCGGCACACAAATACGTACATACGGCTATGAGGTCGTGTTGCTATTGTTCGCAGAGTCTGCATTGCAGCGGCTAGTGACTCATAGCATCCATCGGTGGTACTCGTTTGGAGGGTATTGCAACCACCACAGCTGCGAAGTACCTCTCGTGGTGAATCACTGCGGGCCTGTCACGGAGTCCTGAAAGTCGGTGGGTTTTTGTGTGGGACAAGAAGGAAATTAGGCGGACACAACTGAAAGAGGTGACGGTGTGAGCTGCGACAGATCACTACTTTGGGTAAACCTACTCCATACCTTGTTGTGCTACTTTTAGCTCCGACGTGATCGAGGAAAGCCAACGATCTTCCCTCGGACTTGTAAGTCAATCCATTTTTTTGCCAAAAGTTACCCCGTTTCGTTAAAAGTGAGAAAATAAGGGCACATTGCTGCGTACTCTATAACCCAAATTGCTCCGAATAGTCGAGGAAAAAATAATACTGCTACAGGGGGAAAGGGGAAGAGAAGATGGGTTTTGTTCCTTTACTGGCTCCTTAGATTGATTGGTAGACCGGGAAATGGCTTTTTTTTTCATTTGATAAATTCGCTGTCTGTGCACTTGCGAATTTAAGGAGTCAAAGGCTCCAGAAATTGTTGGGCGTCAAGTGGTGTTGCTGTGAGTTTTTAACTGATGAGGCTCACGCTAACATTCTACCTAGATTACGTTTATGTGCGTTCGATGGCTCTCTGTCTCCAGCACCTTACTTTCCATGGTAAAATGGCAAAACGAAGCATTTTTCAGTCAATTTTTGCCACTCTTCATTTTACGAGTCTGCCTTCTGGCCAACTTGCCCATGACTGGGCGTGATTGCTCGCACTTTCTTTATTGACTCGCGTTAGTAGTGACAAAATGTCTGCCAGTGTTTCTTTCACCTTTTAAAGCGCTGCACAATCCACGCCTCGGGCTTTGTTTGTCATCAATGACTATGTACCTGCGGCTCTTGTGCCTACCTTCCTTGATGGCTGCAATGGTGGGCAGGCGATTCACCGGTCATGTGAGCTGACACCACTGCCCTGCCCTCTTCGCAAATAGGCAGTCAACGCACTTGCAGTCTAACTTCTTACTTGGACGGCGCTACTTTCTTTCGTCCACTGCTCCATTCTTGGCATTGTCGATGCTAGTCTCGTGAAGTCTTTTCTCGAAGCTAGGCATCCAAATGAAATCATGTGAGCTTGCCTGCTGAGGCTATCTTCCAGACGCAGCTTTCTGTTGGAGTCCACACTTTTCGGCTAGACGCATCCACTTCCTCTGTTTTCTAATTACTTCCGGATGTTACGATCTAAACAAAGGGTTGTCACAAGTAGATCTTTTGATTTACTGACTGTTCGCCTCAGGTTAGTTTTTAGAGCCCATCGAATTTGTCACTGGTCAGTGTATGGTGCATCTATGACTCCTGACTGTGCATTTATATTCGATGTAATTGTCTGCTAGAGGAGCGTTTCCTCTGGTCATCTGGACGGCGTTGCCACGGTCATTAAAAATCCTTCTTACGTGATACAGTGAAGACGAGAGGCGGACTGTTGAGTTGATAACGGAAAGGGAATAGTTTTAAGAAGCACAAGCTGCATTTATTCTTTTGCGTGGTCTCCTGCAACACTTATTTTGACGTCTACATAATACCAATAGGGCTTGAGCATCTAATAATTTGTCATCTTGGTTGGACAACCTACTTCGCCTTGTTATCGCCACGGAAGGGCTTCTTGGTACCCGACACGGTCTAACTTTCTTAAGTGGCGAATGTATTGTGAAAGACTGCTTTCACCGATCGCGTAGAAATATTCGTTGCCTGTACAATTTCATGACAAGAAAGATTATGATGCTGCGATCAGTCACAGAGAACTAGATGCTGCCTGCGCTGACTAGGTGTTTGCGGGGATTGCTGTCGTAATGGTGGGCCAGGAACCACCACGGCTGGTATCGTCATGGACACACAGATATGGCTGACCTTGTTTATAAGGTGCGTGCCATACAAATGTCTTGGTGTCGAATGTTTGAGTGTTTTATCAGCACACTGTGGTGTGCGTAAAGTTTTCTGTGGATACGAGTGAATGTCTGAGGAGTTTTGGTTGTGGATTTTGGCTTCCGTTAATTAGAAATGTTATCACCGCATCCTGTTCCACGCGCGTAGGCACGGCTGTTGCCCTCCACCTTAATTTACGGTGTTTGGAGTGGATTGTCCCTTGCCGCCTGTTGGTACTCGTGGTATGAAACCTTCCACTTACCCCTGTATGTGGTGCGGTTGCGGTAGAATGCCTTTTTTTGGCTGTAAAACTAAAACGTCAACTTAATTTGAATGATTTTAATGAACTCTGCCAACGCACTGGTTAAAAGATGGTGTAGTGACAAGCTTCAGGTTCACCACCTGAGCATGTTATGTCTATTTCACAAGGGTCGAGTAATCCGGTGAGGTGTCTGAGATGTGCACGTTAGTGGTTTGCCTGCTTGATGATGGTGCCACGCGGCACCGATTGGCATCTTTAAAACTCTCCTATTTGGCCGCACTTTTGTGACTTTGTGACCAATCAGTCTCCTAACACCCCTTCGTGTGGGCATGCATGTGAAATTAACCCAAACAATCGTTGCCACTAGTTTGAATTTTCAATGCTCTCCCTTAGGTCTTGTTTGAAAGTGAGGTTAATACTCATCCCGTGGGCGTTCGTGTACGACAGTTTATTTACTTTAGAG